TCGCACTTCCTGTGAGGTATATTGTGACTGCCACCATGTACGGAGAAAAACACCATTCGCCAAGCCAGGTTTTGTAGTTTGTGAAGTAACAAATGTATTTCCTTCTTGAATGAGAATACAGGACTGGCAGAATAATAGTCCATATCGCAGCTAAACCCAACTTCACCATCTGCTTCTTCTTTTCACTGATCGGCATTGTGTTTCTGGCTTTCCACTTGAAGATTATGTCAAGAATACCTGCAACAGACCCCCTATAAAGTGTTAGCAGTAAGTATTGTATCTTAGTTTTTGTATAAGGAAATTGGAATAATGACCTTTTATAAGCTTTAAAATTGAAGAAGTAATGAAAATGCTCATGACGTCTTCAAATATATTGGCGTTAAACATTTGGAGTGGAGATTCCACATCATGACAAGCCATAATTATCAATGCCTGAAAGGGGAATAAAAATTTCATAATTTTGCAAATATATACTTTGAAAGATGAAATAGCAGAAGAAGAGGAAGAAGAACAGGAACCTGTAGAGACAAAAGAAAGAAACTCCACATTCTGTCAAAGCTCCGGAATATCTGCCAGAAGGAACGAATCTCTACAAAATTTGTCTTCCCCAGCCATTTTGGTGTTGGTTTAGTTTGTTCCTCACTGAGAGCCTGCAGTAACAAGAACATCACATGAGACACAGGGCAAAATACACTTATGTAGCATTTTGAGACATACAAGAGAATTAATTGTTCGGATTTTAAAAGCAATGCAGATTTCTGAACCTAAGTCCTAGTGACAGCACAAGTTCTTTTTCAGAATTTTGACTTTGGAAGCCATTTTCACACACGAATTTGACCAATTTGAGTAATGTGCTTACTTAGATATTAAGCGCTAATATGCTCCGTAGTCTCTTCAACAAGCTAGGAACACCATACTGCTACGACACAAATGAACAGGCTACTGATGAATAAAGCTCTCATTATCCTTTGGATTACTTAATGTGTATATGCAAATGCATTATCAGGGCAAGATATAGTTTCCATGAGTCACGAGGATATGTACCCCAAGTTCTTCATCATCCTCCATTTCTTCATCCGTTTTCTTTGTCTTCTTCCGAAATCTAAGCATTCCTCGCCATCTCCCTGGTTTACTGGTATCTAACGAGTCTACACAGAAGAAATCGTGGTCCAGACGCATTGGCCAACCTATTTCGAAACATTCAAGAGACCTGTGGAAGATTCAAGTAACACATCTGATTAGTGATGCTCAATGCTTTTAAACTCAGATATGGTAGCAAAGAGACACAAGATACTGAATGTTCTGACCAGAAGTACTCGTTCAGATCATCGTAGTTTCTCCACATAGAATGATCAGCAGTCCCATTCTTGTTCTTCTCAGCTTCCTGCATGCATATATTTCACAATTGAGTACTTCTTTATAAGCTAATTCAAGAACTTCATCAGATAGAAGATCACCTTCTGGATAACCCTGTATATTGGGGTAACTACATTCTCAAGGAAAGATTCGTTTCCTCCACCATATGCTGGCTCGACCTTCTCCCCAGTTATCATACTAACGCCACCGGTCAAAACTCCATGTAACTCATAAGCCATCTGAATTAACACCAACATTTGTAAAAATTGATCAGTTTGGCTGATAAACTTTTCAAGAATATGTATCAAATAAGTAATGAACATATGAACATAATTTTTCAGCTTACTTGATGGAAGATATAACACAGGCACTCTGGCATAAACCTCAAATTCGAAGCTTCTCCCCAAATGAGAAGGTAGAGTCCTATATAGAGTGTTTTATATTGTAGAGCTTCCTGTTTCACATAGGGCAACCTGTAAAGTGGAATGTGAGGCCAAACAGTTAGAAATCAGAATGGGCTTAAACAGAATATCGACAAATGAAAGATATTCTAAGATAACCTGATGTTGTTTTTTCTCCCAAGAAACTTGCACCAGTTTGTGTAGTTCTTAAAAAACTTCTTCATCAATGCATCTACTGCCTCATCACCAGACTGAATTACAGGAATCAAGATCATGTCCAATACAAAGATAATCTAATCAATAAAGAGAAGGAATAACGCAACACCTTTGGTGCTGAAGACTGTTTCTGAGGTTGTCGTATAATGGTGTTACTGAGTAGTAGGATCATATGCTCTCTCTGATTAGACACATTTCCATTCTAGCAGAAAGATAAAATGAAAGTTTGGTTACCATATACATATGTAGTTACAATCTTTACAATACCAATACAACAAGTTCCTGACAAGGTACCTGGAATCCAAATGCATACTGCAGAAACTCAAATAAATCCACAAAAGGCTGGTGTCTCTGAAACTCCTCTGGAGGAGGCAACCCGCGAGTGTTACGTACAATTGCAACAGCAGCTTTAATCTGTATTTTCAGAACAGAAAATAAAACTTTAGTTGGTGAGAAAACAACATAACTTAAGCTTTCCACATGAGACCATATTTCTTTTTATACCTCAGGGAGATGCATAATTGCTTGGTGTACACCTCCTCTGTCAAGAGGAAGAATGTTATATGGCACATAGAACTCAGATTTTGACCGAATACTATCTCTATCCGCAATGGCCTGACAGAAACCATAATTTCAAGTTAAATACACAAAAATGTGAAAAACCGATCCACAAGCCAAAAAAGGAGGCCAGAACCTGAGGGCCAGCGCCACTTGTGACTGTTTTTAGAACTTCATACAAGACAGAAGCAATTCTTCGTGCGTTAATCAACTTCTCTCGCTGACTATTCAGATAAAAACTTCCAAAAGTTAAATGTTGGCTCGCTGAAATTGAAGCTACAAGTATAGTTTGCATACCTGTTATCCAGATTGAATGCTGCACCATGTCTGATAATGTATTCCTTGTAAGCATGATAAACACGTTTGAGTTCTCGAACATCACTCTTCTCCTTTCTTCTTCTCACAGTAAACTCTTCATCCTACAAAGGAATCAAAGAAGTCCAAAGTTTAGAACTTTCATGAATTAATCGGAAAGTTGGTCCACAACATTCATCTGATCGGTGATATGTTTAGTAAAGTCATGGACTTTTGCCTGCTCAAGCCTTTGAAGAAGAGAAGTTTTGAACTGCCGTACACCTCTTCCGGTCGAATTTCTGTCCATGTGGTGAGCTATCTCGAAAGCATGAAAACGGCCTGCCATGGATAAAGTTTCAAACTTTCAAAATAATCATTTGACAATTGTTGGTAGTGAAGTGTTGAGTATCGATTGAACTCACATAGATAAGCAATACGAGGTTCCTCGGACTCGACCAAGTTGGCTATACGAAGAAACCTCTGAATCTCGGAGGCTAACGTCGCCGGAAGCCTCTCGCTGTCGAATGGCTCCGACACATGCTCCCGGAAAGTGAGGGATCGAGTGAAATGCCGTTCCGGCGAATCGTCCCGACCCAGAATCGGTCTTGAGTAGCTCGTGCTTGGGACATCGATGGGATCATCCACGGGGACGATTTCGTGAGACATTTGGGAGAAATCAGGCGAAAGCTGACTCTTTTAGGGGTTTCGTCGGTGGGAATCTGGAGGGAAACAGCGGGAAGGAGGAGATGGGTAGACATGGGAAGATTTATACAAAAAGGTAATTGCTTAGCGAGGTGAGTTTCCATGGCGGAATTTTGAAAAAGGAGGATTTTTGAGAGATGATGGTGCGATTTCTTTTTTGCCTTTTGCTTTTTTTTTTATTAGTTGGCCGTTCTTTTTGAGAGGGAAAACGATGATAATAGGTTAATTTGCGGAAACAACTTACATTTATCTTTCATTTTTGGATATGTGAAACAATTTTTAGTTTTCTATAACCTTTTACGTCACAAAGTTCTGTTTCATAGATATGATATAAAAAAATTATCAAACAAATTTTCTTTGAATCACACAACAAAAAACTTGGTCTAACAAGAGATCAGTTTTACATCGATTTCCAAGTAATGTAATTTTATATCCTCATTTTAAATAATACTGTAGGTCCAAATTTTGATTAATGCATGTCCATAGAGATAGAGGAGAATTATATTGTTGATTAGCATTACATAATTGGTCTTAAAGGTCAGAAAGATTAAAGTGAGAAGTAACTTTTAAATTAACTAAGTAAGCTTTTTCTCCAAAAGAAACAAAATAAAGAAAAGGTTAAAGTGGATGATAATAGGATATGCAAAAACAGACATTTGGTATGTGTAGTTTTACAGAAAAATAAAGAGATAATACTGTTTTTAACTAAATACTTAATAAAGAAAGGGCTTCACAGCAATAGTTTACACAATAATACCAACGTGCATAGAGATAGAAAAACATAAAAAGGTTATCAACTGTAAAGCAGCCAAATCCTATTTGAATAAGTTGGAATGTAAAGCATATACTTCCTGACTTGATGTGCATATGTATCTATTTCTTAGTCACTAAGAATATACCAAAAGACCACAATCTAAATTGGTGTCCAAATCCCCCGATCTTTGTTTTAGTTAGAAAACTAGGGTTTAACCTGTGTCCTGTACGGGGTGATAGTTTCTGAATTTGTATTTTTATTAAAAATATTTATTTAAATATTTCGACATTTTATGCGAGAGATTTTTAATCCTTTGTTATTCGTTTATAGTATGAAAATTAGGCATTTTAATCCATTTAAAAAAAAATTAAAGCATTGATCGTAACCACAATTAAATATGATAGATTTAACCGAGATACATAAAACTCAAATAACTATAATATAATAAGATAGTTTAAAGAAAAAAATTGAAAATAAAACATTATTCTTTAGAAAAATTATACATCATGTATTTCATAAGATAAAAAGTTTTAGCTATGTGGACACGGATTAGAACTAATTTTTTTCTTTCTTTCAAAACTAAAACATGCTTTATTATAATTTCAAAACAATCCAACCAATCAGAAAATAATATGCAGAATCCAAATTGTCAAAACAGCAAAAATATAATTAATTTTGTATAGAAAGTTGAAACAATAGAGTAATATTCAAAAGTTTAATCAAAATAAAATATTTATAAAAAGAACTTTTTTTATTCGATTTAATTATAGATTTTAATTAAAAAACCATATTAAATGAAAAAAAAAAATTACCTTTGGATACCTACTAAATGAGGTTATATACGAAACAATTTATATTATTTTGTTTTTAAAAATTCAAATCATAACATGTACAGAAAAAGTTTTAGATTTTTTTGATAGATTTTTTATATTGTGATTCAAATTATTTTATTAAATAAATTTAAACAAAGATGATAGAAGATGTATACTGATTTTAAAAGAAATTATTATGATGAAATTAAATTGAATCTCATATCTTCCTTATTTACTAATTTTCGTAGTTGCCAATTAAGGAAAGAGAATGATAAATTTAATTTCATTATTTGGTTGTAAGCATAATATGCAATGGCATATATTGTAATTTGTCTAGTAAAGCTTGTCTTAATTAGAAATTGCTCTAAGAGTGAACCTAGTGATGACACCTAAGCAATGACATTCTTGTTAATAACACATTAGATAAAGGTTATTTAGTTAGTGTTTTCTCTTTTAATATATTAGAGATAAATGATCTTTTATTTAATTGGCTTAAACGATGTGATTGCAGTTGTGACTTTTTAATCATCGTTAACATATTGTTTTCACTATTCAGGACTCAGGAGTCGCAGTTATAATTTCCATTTTAAGATGTCGATGTAGCATCTCTGACCATATATCAAGATTTTGTCTGAAATTTTATAAGATAATGGTTTTCCTTAACCAAGTCGCATTGATCCAGTGGTAACGGATTCACAGGTGTGAGTATTGCCATTCGGATTTGAGTTGCCTTGGCCACTTAGCCACACCCTTAACGATTAGTCATTGGGCCTAGAAAACCTTTGGGAAACCAACATTTAGAAAAGAAAAAAGAATGATTTTCCTTTTTCAGTGCTTTAATTAAATTGTGTGTTTTCTCAAATTATGTTGTGTGGTTGTATGTTTGATATTGTTTTTATCTGTTTTGTATGTATGCATCATCGGGCTTAATTGATTTATTTCTTTTATAGTATATTTTCATGATTTTCAATGAATTGATTTTTTTTTTGTTAGTTTGATACTTTACATTTCTTTTTTGTTCAGATTAAAAAGTATGAGCAAGTAACCTCGTCGAAAAAGGTTTGGAATTAAACTGATGATCTATTTCCCTACAAGAAGTATGAAGTCGTACCAGATACACCTTAAAATCTACTTCCTCTGTCCCATATTATAAGCTGTTGGGCAAAATGAATCTGAAAAAAAATGAATGTATCTAGACTGAATTCCATCCAGATACATCCACTTTTTTCAGATTCATTTTGCCCAACAGCTTATAATATGGGACAGAGGGAGTATATCTCTCTAGATATAGATTTAGAACACTGTTGTCAGGGAGATATAGCACGATGGTCTTAGTTTGAGGAATATCTGATACGACACAATACTTTTTATGGGGAAATAAATCATTAAAATTAGTGATAAAAGATTTATTTTCTTAAATTTTATGAAAGTTTGTAATTAATTTTTTATTTAAAATACAAATAAAAATGTTGATTATTATTCGTGTTCTTGTACTAATCTATATTATTATTTGTGAAATGAATTCGGGAAACGGAACTCTCTCACAAATATAATTACCTAAGTATCCTTACTGAAATCTTTTAATTATTTGTCTACAATCAATAAGAAAGTTATATATATTTGCATCGACTCTTAATAAATCGATGTTAATTATTTGCATTACAGCAATTACAGTCACTCATATAAGTGATGTAACATTTTTTCATCATTTATAATTAATACAAATAAATAAAATAAATGATTTAACATGTCCTTTTTTGTAGTGACACTTGTAAAATAGATCACTTTGTTAATATATATATATATATATATATATATATTAACAAAATATGATAATAATTTCGTATTTATTATGAATAGATAATGTTTATCCATTATGTTTATTTTATTAATTGCTTCCTTGCTAAGAATTGTACTTAGCCGACTCCAATTTAGTATAAATAGGGAGCTTATGGTTTCATTGTAATACACATCTCTCTCGATCAATAAAGAGAAAATTCGTACCTCTCTTCTCTCTCCTGACCAAGTGGGTCCCACCATCTTTTCTTTTATTAAATTAATTAGTTTATAACACGTTATCAGCACGACCGCCTCTACGAGCCTAGATCTGTCCAGATCTATCCTTATACCGAAAAGTTATAATGTCGAATTTGACAAAGCTCGAGATCGCCGCCCTTGACATTAGTGGTAACAACTATTTGTCTTGGACGGTAGGTGCAAAGTTGCACCTAAAAGGAAATGGTCTCTTGAGCACCATCGATAAGTCTGGAAAGACGTCCGATGAGCAAAAGGCGAAAGCCATGATCTTTTTACGCCACCATATACATGATGGTTTAAAAGATGAATACAACAAAAAAGAAGATCATGCGGATCTATGGAACTCGCTTAAAGTTCGGTTTGATCATCAAAAATATATGATCTTACCGCAAGCGAGGTACGAGTGGTTGAACCTCCGGTTCCAGGATTATAAAAGTGTTGCTGAGTACAATTCCATTATGTACAACATCACTTCCAGGATGAAAATGTGTGGAGAGAATATCAGTGAATTTGATATGTTGGAAAAAACTCTCTCAACTTTTCATCGTGAAAATATAATCCTGCAACAACAATACCGGGCAAGAGAGTTCACCTCGTACTCGGAGTTGATGCAAATCCTCCTTGTGGCTGAAAAAAATAATCAGCTTGTGATGTTAAACCATCAGCTCCGTCCAACTGGATCTGCGCCATTCCCTGAAGCGAATGTTGCGTCATCCAGTCATACTAAAAAGCCTGAACGTGAACGCAGACGCGGCAGAGGCCGTGGTCGCGGTCGCGGTCGAGGTCGTGGACGTGGAAGAGAAAGTGATGATGGTCGAGCGGTAAAAAGAAAGGGTGAACGCACCTGTTACATATGCGGCATGAATAATCACTTTGAGCGTACATGTCGTACGCCCAAACATTTAGCCGATCTGTACAGGGCATCACAACAAGCCAAAATAAGGACACAGAGACTAACTTCATCTCTGATGAACCTGGTCCATCCTTTGATGGCTTAAGTGATGATTTTCATCTGGATGTCACCGACTATCTCGTTGATCCTGAAGAATCAACTGAGCCAAAGAAAGTCAAATCGATGATAGTGTCTTCGTAAAGAAGACAAGAATAACAAACTCTTAATCGTTTTTCTTGTATTGTATAATAATATATCTTTTGCTAAAAAAAGTTTTTGATGTAATATATTAGCAATGTTTAATATAAAATGTTTCATATTTTATGAATTTCGTGGTCCAGATGGTGTCACCATTTGAGATTAAGGATGGAGATACTTGTCTAGCAGACAGTGCTACGACACATACAATACTCAAAGATAAGAAGTATTTCTCCTATCTCAAAATGAAAGACTCCGCTGAAAGCGTGAG